AATTTCTGAGTAAGGGAATCAGGGCTCATTGGAATTATTTTTAGAACCAGATGTATTTAAAACGAGCACATAAAAGAAAATGTAAATACGATGATGAATCAGTCGTGAAAATCTGGATTATCGGCCTTTAAAAAATCTACCTATAGTAACAAGTAAAGTAAAAACTTCCTTTAAGTGTATAAAGCAACTACTCGTATAAAAATGATTGATTGTCAAGGAAATTTAAAGAACAATCCCAATACAGACAAATCTGTTAACCATTTCAGTTAAGATTTAATTCCTTAGCTAGGTTATAAATTGATCGCATAAGGGTCAACTTCTCTTTGAAAAAGAACTGAAATTTTAATAGCTATTACGGGCTTACAATAGAAAAGTTTTGATTGAAACACTGAAAAACATGAGTAGTTCTCTTTTTAGCTGGAAATCTATGTGGATGTTATGTTAAAATATCACGCAACTCCTAGCTATAGAAGGACGCTAATCCCGCTAATAATTGACAAATTACGATTAAAACATAACTCTTGGCTAAGATATAAACTTATTCCGCGATTGAGAAATTTTATAATCGTTTTTTATTGATCGATTAGCTAGGAATATAGTTTTGGGAAAGGCAAAAAAAAATACTACTTGTGATCGAAAATGTTAAATTATTTATTTTAAGCAACTAATGCAACTGAAATTTAGTTTGAAAACAACATTTGGTGTCTATAGGTTTTATAGTCTCTGAGATACAGGTGTTCATACGGACGGGCTGACGGACAGACAAACAGAGATTGTCATGCTGATTAGGAATATAAGTATGTATGAACTTTGCGCCAAATCAAATATAATCAGGTACAGAGTCCCAAAATACCATTGACGAACGTTGAATTGAATAGAAATTTGAGAAACCTATTAATAATTTGAGCACATACCAGTGCTTGAAATACGAAATAGCGCCTAACACTCATTAATAACTGAACTGAAGAACATTAATCAACTATGTATACATATGTACGTACGGTTATTTAAATACAGCTCTCAATTGGGTCCAACATAATAAATACAGACGAACAGTTGTAGATTTTCATTCATTCACATATTGGAATAGTTTCCTTGAATTTAATCCATCATTGATTAAACATGGAGGGGACGTATTGGTTACCCATCACCCCATTCGCGATATCAAATTGTATTCCTCATCCGGTGCATAATGAAATTTCATTGGGAAAATGCATTCAGACTACCAAATGGAAATTTCAACCCCCTGGCCGACAATCAATCATTGGCATTAAGCACCATTTACATGATGGGTTATAAAACACTTTATATATACATATATATGTACATACAAGTATATCGCACTTTTTGAATGTGTGAGCTGAGAGTGTCGCACACTGCTGTCCAAATACCAATTAGAAATTCTTTGATAACAGTTCTATTGAAAGGCGAGCAGCGAGCGCCGCACGGGTGAGCGCATGTGGGTGAGTGAGTGGAATGGCAAACGAGGAGTGCAAAGGGCACAATTTGAGAGTCAAAAGCCAACTCACACATACACGTACATACATACATATGTACATGCAAGCGACCGAGTAAGGCGTCGTGTGCTTGCATGCTAATCACGAATCACGAGGCAGAAACAAAACAGCAACAAACGGCAAAAAAGCCAAACAGAGAAAGAACAAAACACAACACTCACTCACACACACACACACATACATACCCCGCGCGTTGTTGTTGGTTTGGCGATTGGTGGCGGACGGCGTCGACTGGCTGTGCTTTGCTTGGCGCCTGTTAAAATAAGTTTCAAATTTTGACAAATAAAACCATGATTTTGTAATTTACGAGCGCTATTTTCATAATGATGGAGCGGCGCACACTCAGCACTCTGGCGGGGGTCGGGTTCGCTGTCGGGTGCGTCGAGTTGAGTGGAGCGAAAAGAAAAGGAAACGGAATGGGGGAACCAGCAACCCCCGAAAACAAATGCAGAAGCAGGCGCAATGCAAGGACTTGCCTGCGCTGACTGCAATAAAAAAGGATTATACACACACACACACACATACATACGAGTACATGCATATGCATGCTGGCAAGTTGGCGCCCACGGTAGGCGCGGCTGGTCGGGGAGGCTGAAGATGCTGGAACAACACTGTCTAGACGTTTGATTACCGACACAGACGCAGACGCCGGTCTGTGTCCTTCTCCGCACAGTGCCGCGAACTGCCATCAAAATCTCGGCTTAATGATTATGGCCCGACTTTGACGAAACTACTCATTTTATTGGTTCGCCGAATTCTATTATCTGTGTCCGGCACAGCTCCAATAACTATGTTCCTATCGTCTCCATTTCTTTCACATGTGCTTATTACTTTTTGGCGTGGCCCGCAAACATTTCGGGGGTGTGGCTGCGGCGGCAGTAAAAATGCTATTCAATACTTGTCATATTTCTAAAGGTCAAATAAAGTTTGGGGCGCACAGTATGTTATAAGCGTCGGACAGTTTATGGATAATTGCAGGGAGTGGGAGTACTACATTATTCCTTATGGATGAGGCATTTTACTTTCCAGGATGTTATTTATAAGGATTTGTGGGGGAAATTTCAAGGTAATTCAATAAATTGAAATGGAAACCGAATCGACCCACACATAAGTGAAGTGACTGCTTAAGCAAGCCCATTTAATATTTATTTATTTATTTATTAACCTTATCCTAGCGTTACAAGTATCTGGTTACTTTTATATTATTACGCTAGTCACATTTGCGAGCTATTTTGAAAGAATAATAACCACCTAATGAACTGCGTTTGAGTTCTATTTTGTATTTTAACTTATTTAATCATATATGTGAGAAACATCCCCTCATACAGAGACTCTGCAAATCATAAATCCCTAGCCTCTCTGGCACTATAATTAAAGATCCAATTAAGCTAAACTAAAATATATCCCTCTAAGGTTCAAGATGAGAGTCTGCTAAAGGTATTACATAAGCTGCCTAGGGTAAAACATGAAATGAAAAGATTACCAAAAATACTTATATCTATTATTCTATAAATAAGAATAATTTTAAATATATAAGACGTACTCGATAGCACGATCTGTAAATTTCGCTGTCAATGAAAAAAATTGATTTCAGCACATACCCCAATAATTTTTTGACAACGCACCTTGGCCATAAATTGCATAATGAATTAATTTTTTTTTTATCGACGAGACTGTATGTGAGCGAAATACGATATGGTCCGAAGGTATTTTCATATCTTATCAGTTCAAAAAATTTAAATGGTGCGGAAGTACATATCAGAAGACAAGCCCAGAATTGAATTTTCATATCTTATGAGTTCCAAATTATTAAAATATTATGGAAATACATACATATCAGAAAAAAAGAAACTAAAGTCAAAGGGGCGATAAGAAATTGAATGAAATACCAAAAATATATTCTTCAATAAATATAAAAACTGTACGAGTAATAGGAGTTGGATCTTTTGTAGTACACTATCTACTTCCAAATTCTAGATAGTTAACTTCAGAAGATCCAACTCTTTTCTTTCCTCCGATGTTTTGGAGTACAAAATTGCAATTGAAGCATCGAGTCTACTCCAACTCTTACTTATTCAAGTTATCATTTTAATTCAAGAACATAATTATGTTTGTATTTTAAGAAGTCTAGCAAATCTTCATTATCTTTGGCATACATTTGTAATGGTAGGCCTTCAAGCAACATTTTTGTAATTATAGTGATTACAGAAGCTCCAGATTAACCTGAGTTTTATGCTTACTTGAACAATTAATGAGCCACCTTCAAAGTCAGTTGTAAGACTAAAAGGTTCCATGTGAGCGTCGTCTTTATTATAATTAAATATTTCGACATAAGCTGCTCCATCATAATGGCAAGCAGTAGAAATGAAATTTAACTGCAGAACTAATTGGGCCTTCGCTCAGGAACAATGTATTCTTCCCCTTACGATTGCGCATACCTAACAATCTGGTTGTCTGTCTTTTATACATTTATACGGCTTATTATTAACATTGTGCCAGCATTATCCGATTATATCGATTTCGTCACACTGATTTAATCAGCAGTTGCGCTCATTTGTTACCCAACCCTTATAAAAAAGGTTAAAGATATTTCATCGTAATCTTTACATCATCTGCTTAACACATTGACGCTCTTGCCACCCCACTTTGTACTGTGAACCACTGTGCGCACTCTGAAGGACAACAATCAATGAGGTCGACGTCTGCCGTCAAGGATTGCAGCAAACACATTCCTGTACCCACTTGAATTTTAAGCGCAAAGGTCAAAAAGTAAACAGAAAAGCGTGTGGCAAAAATCGAAGCCATGAAATGGAGCCTTGACTTTTGTACTTTGATGAGAAAGGAAAAACGGATACACGTGTGGCCCAAAGCCAGATGGAATCAAAGGACCTAGAGATGGGTATGGGCCGTTTACGGATTTCTCAAATCTAACCAATAAATGGTATTTCCATATTTGGTTGATTGTTATTTTTAAATATATTGTGACATCATTTGGAAATGTATTCTTAGACAGACAGATTAAACAGGTATTTAATAAGATCAGAACAATAACAATAATAAACCACTATTCACATATTCTCTAATAAGTTTATAAAATGTAAATATAGCCAAGTATTACGGCCTGTATGTGGTTATATTTATGGGTCAACTCATTGAAGCAGTTCCCCTTCCTTCTACCCTTGCCAATATTTAAATCTTCTCGCTTTAGGACTTAAATTATAAAGTTATATTATTTTTAATAATTAAACTTGAAATAATATTAATGAAATAATCATGGTACATTTGATGTTTTGAATTTTTATAATTATTTTGATTGCGTACGTTCCAACTGGATGCAATTCTTTTCAAACAATAAAGAACGTATTCACAAATGTATGAACATTTTCTAAGAGCATGTTTGATAGAATATTTCCAACAAATTGGCAATTATCAGTTTTTTTTCGTGTCCCATGCCCATCTCTGAAAAGAACTCATAAAACTCACCAAAAGTGCACGTCTTTGTCGCAATGTTCCAACGTCCTTTGCTGGTGAGCGAGTGTGTGAGTGAGAGAGTGTCCGAGAGAGAAGAAGAAAACTGGAATTTTGTGTGCGCTGGGCTGTTGTCTCGTTTGTTGTTTTGATTTGGTTCGCGTGTTGTTTTTGTTGTTGTTGTAGTCGCGGCTATTGAGCACAGCTGCATGCGTGAGCGTGTGAGCACGTTTGTTTTTGTAATCCTTTTTCTTGCTTTTGGCGCGCAATTTTCGTTTTTCACATACACAACACACACTTACGAAATATTTCAATGCAATGTTGTTGCGTTGATTGCTATTGTTGTTGTTGCTGCTGCACACGCGAAACCGTTTTGTATGTGTCCACCTTGTTGTTGTTATTATTATTATTGTTGCTGTTGTTTCGCTGTGTGACTGACTGACTATATAATTTGCATCGCACGTTGCTTTGCGACTTTGTTGCTGTTGCTGTTGCTTGTTTGCCTCTTGCCTTGCAGCAATGACTGTTGATGCTGCTTGCCTAATACGACACAACAATTGCAAACAACAACAGTCACAACAAAAATAATACACACACAGACACACTCTACCAAAAACAACGACAATTTGGGGGGTCTGCTGGCCGTTGATTGTTTTCAAGGCTAGGCCTATCGTTAAGGAAGTGATGCTTTTTTGTTTTGGCAAAACAGTCGTACTTAAAACTGGACTCTGTTTATTACACGATAAGAAACCGTAACGTTTTTTAACTGCGATTTTTTAGCTGAAGTGCTTGCGATACGGCGACTAAGCGACGCATCTCGCGACAACCACACGAAAAAGTAACGTCCGCTTCGCAAGCGCGTTTTTTACAAACTGAAACGTTCGAGTTTTTCGTTTTATTTTTTTGTATTTCTTTTTGAGACGCGACGCACAAGAAACTGCTGAGACGATAAAGTCGCAAAAGCAAACCAAAACACACACATAAAACAACAAAACAGTGAGCCTCTCTCTTTCTCTCAGGCCCACCATCCCGCTCTCAGCTGTAAAATGTTTCATACCAAACGTTTCGCCACTGTGCGGCTTAACCCTTATGTGCACAATTATACCAAAACATATTGAAGGTTTTACTGCAGGAAAGGGGTTTTAAGGTACAACTATGTATGTGAAATAAAAGTAAGATAATATAAATGGAATCGCACAGAGTTATAATCATAGCTAATTGCTATGTAAATTTTTAAAACAATTGATTCAACCGATTTTAACATTCAGATTTGATTAAACAAATTTTTATGACTGATCTTAGCATGTTCTGTGCGTTCCTTCAATTTACACAAGTCGAATATTTCTACAAATAAATAGCAATTTTCATTTGGTTTTTCCAACTTACACATAATGGATACATTTTTCAGCACCTGGACAATGCAATTGGAATGCTTACTTGAGAATCAAGAAAACACTGTTCGTGAGTGCTCACGTTTGGATATCAATCTGGATGAGCGCGAAAGGTTGTGGCAAGCATGCTGGGATAGCTATAATGATTTTATTAACACTTGGCAGGGGTTTATACAATTATTTAATTAAAAAGTACAATTCAATTTTCTTTATTGTTTGTTTTATGTTCCTAATTTAATTTCTTTGCAGAACTGAGTTTGTCAGGCAAAATCCATCAACTTTTTTGCAGCATTAATGAAAAATTGAAAAAATTTAAAATTTTTTAAAGCAACTAAAAATGAATAGATCCTCCAGTTACTGGGCGATTCAACTGCAATGTATACGCGAGAATCAAGAAAATACTCTGCGTGAGTGCTCACGTGAAGATATCAGCGAGGAGGACCGCGACAGCTTATGTGAGATATGCTGGAAGAGCTTTCGTGATTTTTTTTACGCTTGGCACGGCTATATTTTTAATGATTAAGTAAGGCCAATATAATTTATCATTTGATTGTCGTTGTTCGTTTAATGTCGTTTTGTTTCAGACGTACATTGTCAAGGTCATGTGTTAGGCCATGGACCCTCTGCGCAAAAATGCCACCCCACTCAGCCGACAAAATTCTGCAATTGAATTGCGCTTTTTCGGTAGGGGTCCTCTATTGTTACTGTAATCTGTTATACGTTTATGCAATTGTTTTTATTAAATTAGTTGTGTTCCAAATAAAAACAAAAAATTAACAAACACAATTGGCTTGGGGGCCAGCAGTGTGACAAAACAAAGCTCATTCCACCTTTTCAAATGTTTGAGTTGGCGCCAATCAGAAATTTGTGAAACACATTGGAAATGAAACGCATTCAAAGCTAAAAGCCCCCACGAGAGCTGTGTTGCCACCTCCTAAGGACCAAGAGGGCTAGATCAGAAAATTCAACTAGCTATAAATAGCCAAATAAATGATAAAAGTAAGGTAGTAAGTAGTAGTAAGGTAAGTAAACTAAGGATTAGGTGGGTTTTTTTAAGTCACCAAATTTAAAAACAATATCTTAAGAATTAACAAGCGTTTTCATACAACACTATTTTAAAGACATGCTAATTAGTAAACATATAGAGTCAGATTAAAACATTTTTTAGACTAAAACAGCAACTTCAGGTTCTTTAGACTGAGCTTTACAATCAGGTGTTTTCCCGTCTTTTAGAAAATCAAAGCATAACGGGTGGACAATAATAATGAGAAGTGTTGCCAAAGATTGAAAACAAATAAATAAATATAAATAATAACAATAATAAATAACAACAACAATAGCTATAGATCCAACCAGCCAACTTGTAAAATACAAGTTTTTCAGCAATCGGATTTGAACAACTGCATAAATGGCGGGCAAAACAGCTAACTAGTTTGGCAACACTGATTGGAACATGGAACACACTGACACCTAAGAGCCCCAACAAGAGAGCGAACAAGTGATGGCACGCGAGTGCAAGCGAATAAGCCATAGCGTCACAGAGCAGTTCAGCACTATGTAGGCGCATGCGCAGATTGCTTGGAACGGCACAAGAAGCACGAAGTGCGCCAGCAGCGTTTATCTGTGCTGCTTTTTCTGCGCGCCTGCTACAATTCCGGTCTAGATGATGCTCTTGCTGCTCTAGTTTAAGCATTTGGAAGCAAATGCTCGCTGCTGCTGCTGCTGTGCACAACAAGCCCAAGAAGTTCGCTTCATACGTTGTCGAGCTGGCGGGCGGGCGGTCGCTCGGTCGTTCGGAACGGAACCAGCAGCGGGACGCGGACGCGCCCGCAACACCGACGTGGTTGGAGTTGCTTTCATCCACACACTCAACTTTTGAGTTGAATAACGTACGGAGGGCCGCAGCCGCAGCTGCTGCTGCTGCCGCTGCCACCACAACCACCCAAGCGGTCCGAACAGAACCGCTCCAGCGCCACTACCACTGCCATAATTACAATCGCTGTTTCTGCTTCTGCCGCTGCCGCTGCCACTTCCAATCAACGACAATGCTCATTGACTGCGTCGCATTTTTGAACTCTTGAACCTTGCGGTTCCAAATGAGGCGACTGTATGATGATGGTGGCACCACAACCACCCAAAACGACTGGCAAGCCGCCATTTTGGTCGCCGCCGCCGCCGCCATCGCCGGCGTTGCACATAATTTCCATGAAACCTCATGGACTCTAACTGAATAGGAGCGCAGCGTTAACAGGCCAGCGATTCGCTATCGCATGAGATTTCTCGCCCTGACATTCACTCGGTGGTGGTAGTGTTGTTGTTGCCGCTCTTGTTGTCGCTCGTTGCGTTGCGTTCGACGTCTGAGTGTGAATTGTTCACGTTTACTTCAAGCAAGTCTGTGCCTGTGGGTGCATGTCTGTTCGAAAAGCAGAAAGCATGTTTGTTTGTTTGTATTTTTGGTTGGATTTATAACGTTGCGCTCGAGCCCCGACTTCTACCTAATCCAGCACAGATGTCGTTGAGCGTGTGTCTGGGTCTGGGCCTATCTGTTGTTTCATTCATGTCGGATTTAAATATGTTCGTAAGTCGCCTAATTGCTGAATGCGGCATACTTGAGTGAAATGTTTTGGATACACCAGTACACTAAGTCTGTGGTGGATGAGCATGAAGGGATTTGACAGCCAAGGAATTAAAGTTTGAAATCTTAAATTGGTTAACTTTCTTGCAACGGGTATTATTATTATTATTATAAGTAAGTATTTACTTAATATTACACATACCATTTATGTATGTATGCCAACGGCGGCTATTTTCACAACTATGACAAACATTCTTTAAACTTTTCATTTTCTTCGCCGGTTTGAAGTTAATAATCAACCATTTAATCAGGTCGGCTTAGGCCAAATAGATAAATCCGACAAATAAATAAATGAATTTAATTTTCACATTACTGGACAAAGTATTGTTTGTAGAACTTGGAACTCTTTGTGTTACAAACTTTAATGAAAAGTTTTCCACCATGCCCATTTGAAAGTATTTCCACAGCAATAAACGCCAAACCCACTCAATCGTCCTCCAAACAACGGATTGCAATCCACCAACCAACCGAAGGAGCTAACACTCAAAAGCACTTCCACAGCCCTTTTCTGAGCACTCCAAAATATGCTCGTTTGCCCACGTTTGCACGCCCGAAAGGAGCGACTGACTGCCAGGAACCACTTGACCCCATTTAAGCGCATTTTTTGTTACCTCTGTCGAGTTCAAGCGACAGGATGACAGAAAATTTAGCATGGCGTGCCAATTGCCAAAAATTCAGACTCACACACACACATACACACACATAGAGACCCAACCACAAATATTCTAAGTGAGCCAAACAAGTCTCAAATCGGTACTCATGACCTTTCAAATACACACGCACACACACACTCACAAATATGCACACATGAGGCAGATGGTTTTGGAGAGGCACAGCACAGCAAATGCCTGGAAGCATGAAAAAAATCCTTGAAAATATTGATGAACCAGGAGTGCAGTAGCCTGAGCTGCATTACCAAGGCAGCGACAATGCCGACGAAGACAACAATAACTGGAATAACGACCAACGAATAACGACGACCAACAGCAACAGTAACAGCAGCAGCAGCAGCAACAACAACAAACAACAACAATGTGAGTCAAGGCAAGACAGAGCCCATTATCAGCACCCGGACTGGCTGGTTGCTGAGGCTGAATGCCATTTGATCTGCGCCAGCGGAGCATTGCACCATTAGAAGAGTCAAGGCCACAGGCGACGGTCAGAGCCACAGCCACAGCCACAGCTACAGCTGCTGCAGACATTTCTGCTGCTCACTGATGCTGTTGTTGTTGTTGGAAATGAAACCACGGAGGCCGTTAAACTGACGACGCGACGTCTGCAGCCATCAAAGTTAACTGACATTTTTCGGCATCGCACCATGGGCTAGAAATATAAGCAAACTATGAAAAAATGTTTGAAATTTTTAAAGAATATTAAGAGAGAATGGTAGAGTCGAGCAAGTTCGACCTTTTCCTAAAACGAACTTTTTATACCCTGTACCCGTAGGGTAAAAAGGGTATATTAGGTTTGTGCAAAGTATGTAACATACAGAAGGAAGCATCTCCGACCCCATAAAGTATATATATTCCGAATCAGCATGACGAGAGAAATCGATCTAGACATGTACGTCCGTCTGTCCGTCCGTCTGAATGAACGCAAGGATCTCAGAAACTATAAAAGCTAGAATAACCAAAGTTGGCATCCAGATTCTCCTAGGTCCGAGAAAGGACGAGTTTATTTTATTTTTTGGAATTTTCGCCCCCTTCCCCCACTACAGAATTTCGTCAATAGCGTCCACATTTCAAATGCTACCTAAACCAAACTTTGCACACATAATTTATATGTAATTATCTACTGTTGTTAGATAATTCGGTCAATTCTAAGAAAAGTTATTAGCGAAACAAATTCTCCACAGTACAACCCCACCAAACTGCAGCAACAAGTTCGCTCTTCTTCTTCCTCTTTTTGGGCGCATGTAACTCAGTGACGGAAGTTTACCTGGGTACAGGGTATTACACTGTCGGGCTTGCTCGACTGTAGCGTTCTCTCTTGTTTTAAGTTTATTGTAACTTAGAATTAATCTTAAATTGTAATATACTAAGGTCGTCAGGGTGAAAAACTAAAATAAACCTCGTGGTGCCTAGGTACTAGGAGACTGTTCTAGAGATATCGAGTTTTGTCAATGTGGGCCCAGGCGTTCATCCAAAGGGGGAAGCAATGACTTGGTAGTACTCCTAATAAAAATGGTAAGTCACGGTTTATTGAGATATAACACTAGTACTAGTAGATAGATTGGTTCCAAAAAATGCGTATAAAAAAAGTAGTATAAAAAACGTGTAAAAAAATACATTCATCATATGTTATTCTGAATCGTGTTAAATGGAATAATGTCGTGCAACCATATATAAAATTTTTCATTTTGAAACCGTGTTAAATCAAAACCGCGTAAAACCAAAATTAGGTGTATACTCATATATGTAATCGAACTTCAACTATAAATGTTTTAATTTTAAGTGCTATACTTTTCCAAACGCCTGGTTCTATTTTGCACAGATGGGTCTTAAATTATATGTGTTCCTACGATGCTGTTTTGCTCCACAGTGCTTTAGTTCAATGTTCTGATAAGTTTCAAGGACGCCCATTCAAATCGAATGTATTATTCTTACTGTTTCACACACACACATACACACACACCCAACTGGGTAGCCCAAGCAGCGCCTGTCAGCGAACATACACACATACCGCCTTGAACTAAGCACATATGTATGTACAAAATTCACATTTAGGCATGATATAGTAAAGCAATAGAAAAATTCACACCATGCCGCGCCATCATGACTCCGCCATGCTCCCAGAGATGGGCCAGAATCCGTTTTATGGCTGGGAACTGCTTTACGACACCGTCCGCAACTCAGTGATGAAGAAGGCCGATCTGGTGATAGCCTTCACCCATTTCGTCCTAACCAAGCAATTCAATATGGGGGCGATGTCGCCAGATGTGAATCCCCAGATAAAATATATGCGCAAGGGTAGCGAGAAATTGCCGGAGAGATGGAATCGGGATAATGCCAGATACTCC